CCACAAATTCAGCCTTGGCGTCCAAGCTTGAAAATGAGGTTATCGATAAAGCAGATATATATGATGTCATATTGCTATGAATATTAGCTTTCAACGAAACGCTCTGACCATTCAATGCATTTTAAAGTTTGTACGTTTCTAGCCCTACGGTGTTTCATGCCCGCCGCTTATGAAAAATATAAGGAACGAGCTTACATCGGAGACCGAGACACCACGATGAGTGGCTTACGTTGTAAGCCCTGGCATGAGATTGACAAGAAATGTACTGTTTGAAGTGCCGTCGTTGGAATGAATGACTTTCCGATTCCACTTACAGATTTGCCCATTTACGCGTTTTCAAATTTGTGTCAATGTCCGAAGGACGAAAATAAAAAGTGCTCAAAGGTTGGTCTTTTCTGCTACACGGACGACCCGGAAGTCCCATGGGAACCGTGTTTTGTGTCCTGCCGATCAAAAAGTACTTTTATCTACAGCTCTTTTCTCATTTATCTTTGTTTTACGTTATTTCTAATTTTATTAGATATTTGCTACACCAAAGTCAGTTTCATTTGCATGGTTCACATGTCAGAGAGTATGGTTGTATTTCTTGTTCGCAGTGGCTTCACCTTATTGTTCGCAGATCTCTAATTTGTTTAAACATAAAATTTTATTTGAATGCCAAAATATGTTCAATGACGCATAGTTCTTGCAGGACCAGATTTCACGGGGTACCGCACTGCCACATTACTCATAGATGTCATATTTTTTGTGGGGGGGGAGGGGGTAGTTCATGCGGGCCGCTATGAGATGGCATTTGAAAATCTACACTTTTGTTCATTTTGTTTGAGCCATTGCCCTGTTTATGAACAATGAGCTGGTATCCCTGTTTGCTAACACATAAACATCAAAATATGTTCATACGGTTTACGGTTACACTGGATAACTATGAGCAAGAGGCAATACATCACGAAATCTGGACTTGGAGTAGCTATACGATTTCATTAACTCGCCAGCGTCTTTTCAGCACGATGACCTTTGTTGCTGTCCGAAGGGATTGGTCTTGCCACGCTCTTTAGCGTTGCCCAAAGTTCAGAGATGTCAGCCCTGAGCGCCGATCTACTTCGGTGTCGCAGCCTCTATTTCCTTTCAGTACAGAGGCGAGGTATTTGAAGTTCTCGATCTCATCGATACTCGTTGCACTCAAATGATTCTTTGGTTTGCTGATTGAGTGTCGTGCTCACAAGATCTTCCTTTTGCTGGGGTTAATTTCTAGGCCTTCCGTCGAAGCCACTTTGCACAGTTCTCTAGTAGGTGCCATTCTGCATCCCATTGGCGCCGTCACTCAGCAATGTAACGCAATCAGTGTATTCCAGGGATACAATGAGTACTGCCGGCTACGACGCTCCTTCGCATCATATGATCCACCACTATGTTTAATAACGGAGTTGAAAGCTCTTCTCCTTGGCACACTCCACTGTTGATGTTAACTTTGCTGCTTTGATGGAGCCTTTAGTGCTCTCGTACTTTCAGCAGGCCGGTAACTTTCTGCGGTACTCCATAGCGTGTTACTTTGCGCCACAAAGACTGACAGTACATGGAGTTGAAAGCTGTTCGGAAGTTGACTATGACCCTATTGCACGCCATTATATAACTAGGTATGGCAGATTGATCAAATTCGATTTTAACTGTTTATGAACAAAATGTTCCCGGTGAGTTCAGCTTAATTCAGCAATCGAGGAAACCAACACAATTCAGACAGAAATATTGGCGTTTTCGTAGTACAACCATCAACATAGTTCCTTTGATCTTCCGCTAGCCGGCGTGGCACATGGTCGACTTATCTTGCAGTCCTTCCACTGTTGCATCGCATTGCTGAGTGACATTCCCCTGCGGAGTCAGCATGAAATATTGATTAAAATTTTAAGCTGGTGTATTATATATTTTAATCCATATTTCTTTCATGCCATGAGAGTACACTGTTCAGCCCACTGTACCATAGAAATCGACGAAACCAACTGCATCGATCCCCGTAAGGAAGTTGATTTGTACCTGGGATTGCGCAATTTCACGAACGACGGGTTTGCCTGTTCGAATTGGCTTCCTTCGAGCGGAATTCCGGCAAGGCTACTGGAACTAGGTAAAAAATAGCGCTTTAAAAACTCCTGCGATCCAAAGCATCAGTTCATTCATACATGCAGGTATCTTCAACTTCATCTTCTTCATCGAAAAACGGCATTAATGTTTGTGTGACATCATTCTTCGACTCGTTATCGTTTCATGAAGCATCTATTCGAACTAAATATCATTCCTCTTCATCTTCCTTCTCCATTTGCGTCGCGGAGGCAGACGCGTCAGACAGAGCTTCCAACGTCCCCGATCCTGTG